GAGGGGCATTCTGGGTGACTCGGTGCATGAGTGGGATCCAAGATGCAGGTCTCCATTCTGTGAGATGACATGACAAGAAACCTGGCAGAGGTCAACATACCCCATGTGAGCAAATCTCTGTTGGAAAGCCAACCTCACTGGTCTTATCATACAGAGTCACTGACTTAGCTAATTTGAAGGTATCATTTGTCCCTCGGGCCTTTTGATCATCTATAAGGAGAAAGTATGTGGAAAAGAAAGAAAGTAAAGAACTTTGGTGGGGTAGGATAAAAGAGCCCTGATATTTCACTAGGACCTGTTGGATGCCAGGGGATCCCCCCACACCAGCCACAGAACCGAGGGGGTGCGTGTGGGAGATAAGGATGGGGAAGTGTCGATGGCATTATCCTGAAGCTGCATTTTTCACCCATTCTCCGATGTCAATATTTATTGATATATTGACACCAGCAGTGTATCAATATGATGTGGACAAAATATAGATACTAGAGACCTGTAACAAGCTTCTGTTTAATCACCCTGGGAGGAACAATGGAGACAAGAACAGAGCCAGGCCTCAAACGACCCTAGGACCAAATCTAGGCTATGTTCCTTCCTGGCTCTCTTTCCTCAGGACAAGACATTCATCCCCTCTGTCCCTCAGATTCTTTAATGCAATATGAGAATAATTTTTCTTCTGAGATCATTGGGAATACAGTGTTAAGTAACTTAAAGCACCCGTAGCACACAGAGCTGTGCCTGGTACATGTCAATCCTTCAGTGTATTGCTGCTATTATGATTGTTTTTTATGAATTTCTTCCTATTATTATGTATTAGTTCACTCTTGTTATGTATATAAGATACCACCATAGCCTTAGTCATATATTTAATATCTTAATGCAAATATGATCTCTTGCATTTCTGTATGTCAGAACCTCAACCAGACTATAATCAACGTATCAGCAATGCTGTTTTCCCTTCTGGAGGCTCTACGGGAGTATCTGTGTCTTGCTTTGTGAAATTTCAGAGGCCGACAGCATTCCTTGGCCCTTGACCTCCTGTGTTCATATTCAAAGCCAACCATGTAGAATCCCTTTGACTCATTCCATTTTCATAACTATTTATGATTCAATTTGGGAAATGTTCTCTGCTTTTAAGGACTCATATCATAACACTGAGCCACTGAATAATCCAGGGTAAAATCTCCTCAACTTAAGTACTTCACCTAATCACATCTGCAAAGCTCCATTTACCATGTAGGCCATATATTCATAGGTTCAGGGCATTGAGATTGAGATGTAGGCATTTTTAGGGAGCCATTATTCTCAATATTAAACATTATTAGCAAGTTTTGCATATTTATTAGGAATAAAATTGCAGTGATAGGGGCGCCTGGGTGGCTCAGTCAGTTAAGCATCCAACTCTTGATTTTGGCTCAGGTCATGATCTCAGAGTCCTGAGATTGATCCCTGCATTGGGCTTCACACTGGTGGGTGGAGTCTGCTGAAGATTCTCTCTCCCTCCCCCTGCCCCTCCTCCACTCTCTCTCTCACTCTCTCTCTCTTTCTCTCTCTTTTTAAAATAAATAAATAAATCGTTTTTAAAAGAAGGGATAAAATTGCAATAATAAATAACAAGGCTTTATAAATGAGGTTCTACCCCATTTAAGCCAAAAGAAAGGAAGAAAGGAAAGGAAAGAAGAGAAAGAAAGAAAGAAAGAAAGAAAGAAAGAAAGAAAGAAAGAAAGAAAGAAAGAAAGAAAGAAAGAAAAGAAAGCAAGAAAGAAAGAAAGAAAAGAAAGCAAGAAAGAAAGAAAGAAAAGAAAGAAAGAAAGAAAAGAAAGAAAGAAGAAAGAAAAGAAAGAAAGAAAGAAGAAAGAAAAGAAAGAAAGTGAAAGAACTGGGGGTGCTCTCTGGATGAGGACCGCCTATGGACCCAACCAGGCCCTCCCCTCAGGCCTGGGCAGACACTCAGTGGATGGTCTGCCCCAGGTCCCCGCCACACAGTACACACCCAGGACTAGTCATGAGGTTGCACACAGGTCAGTGATTATGTCTCTTCACCCTACCCCAACCCCAGGATGGCCACACAGTAGCCTCACCCTGGGTCAGGCCATGCCCTCTTATGGGAAAGCAGTCTAGATTTAGTCTTGAAATTGTCTGTACAAGGGGGACCTCCTCTGCTTTCTTCTGAGCCATCTGCCCTGCCTTAGCAGCCTCCGTATTCTTTATCATGACACAGGAGATCAACCTCCCCACCCTACAACCCGGGTCAAACAGATGGAAAAAATCCCCACAATCCTGATAGCACACTTGGCCTGTCCCTGTCCCTCAGGCTGCAGTCACTTGTCAGACCCAACTCTCCAGGCCTGTGTATTCTTTTGGAGACAGTGCTTAACCTGGGCCCACCACAAGTCCAGAGTCCTCTTCCTGGATCCACAGGGATTTTTACATTTGAAACCAAAATGACTATAACACTGTATGCCAACTATACTTCAATCAAAAAAGAAAGAAAGAACGTTAAGCAATGTTCATGCCATGCCTGCTGTGGTCTTATCTCAGAGCTGCCTGTATTTCACATTCTTTTAGTCCCAGGGTCTTGTTGCCCCCGATGGGGAAAGACCTCATGCCTCCAGGCAAGAAGGAACAGACACAGGGATATGGTTCTTTGATGAAGGAGAGACCAAAGGTATCAAAAACGAATAGAGTAAATTGAGGAATTTTGTTGACTTTACAACCCCTCCCACCAGCACCCAGAGCAAGAGATAGTCCATGGAGAGCACCTCAAAACTGACAGTACCTAATGGTGTTGGGAAGGTGGCATGGTTTGGAAAGGCTGTTGACATCTGTAGTCTGGTAGAATTGTGGGGACTAGTATTTGAGCAGTTTTGTGTACTAGGGAGGGTTGCTTGTTTAGAGAGATCAGTGGCTGTGAGCAACTGGACAGTTCATATTTTGGGGAAGTTTGAATGTGTTGATTTGAGGAAGGCGGGAGATTGAGAGTGATTGTGGCTTTGGAGATTTTGATAGACTTGGGAGATTTTGGCTTTGTGGACGATGTGGGATTAGGGGGACGAGGGTGGGTATTTGGAGACTTTTGAAGAAATTAAGAATTTGGGGCTTGAGAAATTTGGTGGATTGGTTTAGGGCTTGATACACTTGAAGTTATGCGACTGGTGGATTGGGGGAGTTAAGTGGACATGGGGATTTGAGCCTCATGGAAAATTTAGGACTTGAGGAGCTTGGAAAGTTTGAAAATACTGATGCCTTGAGGGAAGATAGAGGTTTGGAGAGTTTGATGTGTTTGAACAAGTGGGTATATTTGGGCAGTATGGTGTGTTTAGGAAATTTGCAGGTTTGGAGAGGCTGAGTGGCATAAGGATATTGGTGGGTTTGTGGAACTTGATGGGCATGGATGACATTGTTGGGCTTGAGGAGGTTGACAGGCATGAAATATTGGTGAATTTGGGGAAGTTGAGGTTTTGGTGTGTTTGGTTTTGAAGGGTAGTGTTTTTGGAAGGTTGCTGATTTGTGGAAATTGGCAGCTTTAGGGATGTGGGTAGATTCATAGATGGTGGGGTGTGTGGGATGATTAGGTGCTTTGGACATTTTCTTGGGTTTGAAGAGTGAGAGTTTTGGTGACACCAGTGTGGTGAAGATGGGGTTTCAGAGGAGAGGTTATCAGATTGGGAAGGCATTGTGTTTGGAGACGTTATGGAACTGGGAGACATCGAATGTTTTATGGAGGTTGAAGACCTAAGGTGTGTTTAAGGGTTTGGTTAAATTAGTAGATTTGAGTATTTTAGAAATTTGAAGAAATTAGTTGGCTTGTGGAGGATGGTAAGCTTGGAAATGGGGCTAGACCTCTGTCAGGTGAAACAGAGAAGACTATGTTCTTCTTCCCACTCCAATTTTCACTGTATATATTCAGGTTCAATTTCCTAGCAATCAAGAAGTCTAGAAAGAAAATAACCCATGGCAGGAGGGTCATCACAATATATCCAAATAGGCACAGGCAAGTTCCTAGTATGGTTTATGAATTGTCAGTTCCAGAGACTCTATCCGTCCTGGGGCAAGTATAGAAGTAGGCATGGTTGTGCAGCCCTGGGAACTATGTTCTAGTGACCACATGAAAAAAAAATGTCCTTAGACAGGGACGCTTTCCTGTGCTTGTGGGTGCAGCCCAGTATGGAAGTGTTTGTGCAGAGGATGAAGAGGGCAAGTATCTTGAGATTGATCAACTCACCCCAAACGCAGAATTTCCCAGTGGAGATGCCCACTTTTGGATGTAAGAACAATTATTCTCCTTAGCAGTCATATAAATAAACTCAAACACCCTTCAGTTTCCTTGATTCTCTGTAATGAGGATTGAAAAGTATTTATATGAGTGCAGGGTCTTACTATGTCTTCAGGATTCACTGGACTCCAGAAATTTACTCCCCTCTTGGCAGAGTTGTTTTTTAATACCTTGTATTCCGGTGGGAATATGGATGTGGGAAGAGTTGGTTTGTTTACCTGGTGATGTAGATTCATGAAAAAGCATATTCTAGCTGACATGACAAGAAACTTGGAATTGGGCACATCCTGCTGAGGGGAAGCAAGTCACAATTAGGGATCCCTTATCGGGAAGGGATGGAAGAGTTTGCCCTTCAATTTCCTGAGGAGAGAGTGCTCAGAGGTGGAGTCTATTTCTCCAGCGATTCCCCAACGTAAATGGAAATCCTGCGGGCATTGGACCTGGAGACTCCACTCTGCCGGTCCCCGAAGGCTTTGCCCTGCGATGCTCTGGCCGGGGATAAAAACAAATCCAGCTCAGGCACTATCTAAACTAGGGAGGGAGGGCACCCTCTAGGGGGCGGGTCCCCGGCGGCGACGTCGCGCCTCCCCTCGCCCAGCCAATGGTAGCGCGCAGAGGCCGGAGGGGCATTTTCCTCAACCAACCAGAGCTCCTAGGCCTTTCAAAGCCACGCCTGCGTGTCCCTCCTTTAAGCCAGGACTCCTAAACCGCATAGCCCCGCCCACAGAGCTCTTTCGGAAAGGAGGTCTACCAGGCCTTCGGCGGATCTGGGCAAACCCTGGGCAGCCTGCACATCGCCTTCGTAAGCTCACTCCCCCCCTCTCCATGAGCAAGCTTCTCTTTTTCCAGAGGCTGTCGAGCCCTTTGTCTGTCTACAGAGAGACACACGAATACTTCCTACTTCTGAGAAGCCCGTCTCTCGCTTCTTTAGCAACCGAGCCCCATAGGTTGGCCAGGCTGCGCACAGCGCTCCGATTGGAAGCGGGGACTGCCCGTCAAGCATTTCCTCTCGGCACAGACTACTCCACTCCACGCTTCGCCTTTTCAGGTGGATTAGGGAAAGTGAAGTTGCCTCAATTCTGGGGAGCACGCCTATTGGTCGGACATTGGTATCTATCATGACCGAGGCTGTGAAAGTCCTCGAGCCTTCGATTGGGTCCGGGGATATGTCAGTCAAGATGGGCGGGTGCAATCGCAACGCAGCGCACAGTATTGGTGGAGCTACGGCGCGGCCGGAGCGGGTGCGGAACCGCAGGAGGAGAGCCGGCTTCTCTTGATTGGGCCATAGGGAGGCCCTCCGACTCCGGACTGGTTGAACGCGAGCCGCGCCCCCGTCACGCCGACAACCGGCTGTAAGGGGAGCTGCCGGGCTCGCCTGTGTTAGCCTTGCGAGCCAGGGCGGTGAGAGGAGTGCATAGACGGTTCGCCGGGTCCCCAGCCAGACCGACGTAAATCCGGGAGTGGCGCGCGTCATCTCAACGGTGAGGGGACGCCAGTGGGCGGCGGGAGACAGGGCTCCGGCGCGGCGGAGAGCGAATAAAGCTCCGCAGCCGGAAGTGTCTTCAGAGTGGCGTCGTACCCGGAAGTGTGGCACGACGGCAGCCGCACCCGGAAGCATGATGCTCCCGCTGCTCGGGAAGTGATGGTACCCGGCCAGTTGGGATACGGGGTTAAAACAGGTGTTTATGTCTCTTTATCTGCTGAAGCTCATTAGAACCTCCCTTTCCGGGAAATGTTGGAGGGTGCAAGTAGTTGGTCATGTTTTTGCTTGTCTCATCCTGTTGAAACCCGAGGGGAAACGAGCAGTAGGCATGTGTCCAGGGGGGCCAGGCTCAGTAGAGGCTTTTAAGAAGTTTCTTTTGCTTCCTGTCACCCTCAATTCCTTTACCCCACAGGGATGTGCAGATGGAGGCTGGAGGAGACACTAAAGCCCCAGCCCCTGGGGACACGGAGGACTTGGAGGACACTCGGTTCCCCAGTGAGGAGGCTGGAGAGGATGGAGGGGTTCACGAGGACCCGCCGGATCCTGGAGAGGGGGACCTGGAGAAAACAGGTATGTCTTCCCCTCACTAGGGCCTTGGAAAGAATACCTAGAGGGTGTCATTGTTGGGGGAGGTCAGAGGGGGACAAGTGAGGAATCTTTTGGGACTCAGCAAAGTGGTTTAAACCGCAGCAGGATCAGTAGGAGGCCATTGTGGACACACAGTGTAGTTTAAATCATTGAGGAATGAAAAGGTAATCAGTAGGTGTCAATGGATGTTCACTGGGGACTTGATCTGAGTTCAGGTCTTTGAGGAATCAGATTAGTTGGGGTCAACGAAGGGTATTGGGGATTTAGGATGTTTAGGTCAATGAATGACCAAAAGAAAGTTAATACAATCAAAAGGAAACTATTTAGAAGTCAGTGTCTTTGGGGGCTAGGGTGTTATTTAAGTCATTGAGGTGGGAAAGGGGATCAGTGGCAACCAATGCACATTCAGTGTTTACATCATTGAGGAGTCAGTGGTGAGTTGTTGGTGGCAGTCTTTAAGGAACCAAAAATTAGATGTTAAGGGCGATCATTGGTGAGGAGGCAGTGGACATCAGTGAGATTATGTGGAGAGTCAGAGGACCAGTAGGAGGGTCTTTGAAGACTTAGTGGATGTGTAAAGTTATTTGATGGAGACTCAATGGGAGTCACTGGGGAAACAATGCTTATTGACCACCTGGGAATGAGTGGATGTTAGTGGCATCATCGAGAAGGATGAGTGGACATCACTGAGAATAAATGGTGGGTGTTGGGGGGGTGTCTTTGAGAATTTGGAAATTATTGGCAAGTAATGGCAGGTATTGGGAGGGTAATTGGGAGGACAACATGGGGGATCGGCAAATGTCAATCGGAGAATGAGGGAATATGAGGTCATTGGGATTTTATGGGAAAGTTGTTGAAATAATGGTTGTTATTGGGGGATCAGTAGACATTGGAATAAATGGGAGAGGTGTCAAAGCAATCAGTAGGGGGCAGTGAAGTTGTGGGTTTTATTGCTGATTGTTAATGATGGTCATGAGGAAGGGTGGTGGACAACATTATCATAGTCCTATGTGTTAGTGTAATTATGGTGGGTATTTTTTTTTTCTAAGATTTTATTTGACAGAAAGACAGAGAGGGAGGGAACACAAGCATGGGGAGTGGGAGAGGGAGAAGCAGGCTTCCCACTGAGCAGAGAGCCCAATGCGGGGCTCGATCCCAGGACCCTGGGATCATGACCTGAGCCAAAGGCAGATGCTTAACAACTGAGCCACCCAGGTGCCCCTTGGTGGGTATTGTAAGGAGTGGAGTGGATTATCAATGAGAATAAAAGGAGGTCAAGGAAGTTGGAGGAGGTCACTGAAATCCTGGATGTTAGTGGAAATTAATAGTAGTCATTGGGGAGAAGGGAGAATTAAATAAAAGAGGGTCAGGGGAAGTTATTTGAAGTCTTGTATGTTAGTAGAGGTTCATGGTGGTCATGGTGGGGATGGAGTGCACATGAGGTAAAATAGATTGTGTGTCAGGGCAGTCACTGGAGGTCACTGGAGACCCAGGTATTAGTGGTATTAATGGAATAACTGGAATGTTAGTGAAAAGCAGTGGGCATAAATAGGGGCTTAAGGGAGGCTTAAAGATCTGGGTGCTAGTGGATATTCATGGCAGTCATTGGAAGAATTAGTGGTTATCACCAAAAATATACGTGGTTGATGAGGAGAGTCAATGAGGTCATTAGGGATCAGTGAACATCCATGAGAATAAGTAAGGGATTAGGGAGGGGTGGGGCAGTGGGAAGGATTTAAATGAGAGACTGTAGAGATATTAGTGGATGTCATGATGGCCAATGAGGGGTGAGTAGATACTAGGAGAATACATGAGGGGTCAGAGGTATTAATGGTGGATCATTGAAGATGAAGATAATAATGGTCATTCAGAAGCAATAGGGTGCTTTGAAGACTTGGAAGTGTCAGTTATTGACAGGAGAATAAATAAGCTCTAGGGACATAGAGGGTTCTGTAATGACAGTGAGAGATTGGATTGTTGGGGTTTTAGGGGGATCATGTGGAGGTCATTGAGGGGTAGAGGGGACACCTGGAGGTCTGTGTCAGTATCACGGGTCATTGGGGGGCTGGTAGAGATTTGGGAAGTCCCTGGGCACATGGGGTTAAGGGGAGTCCACAGCCAGAATGACCCACCAGGATTTCCCTTTCAGAACCCGAGACGAAGGATCAGCCACCCGGCCTGCTGTCACCCCTGCCCCAGTCAGAGGCCCTATCATGCACCTGTGGGCTTTGGGATCCTGCGACCTCTGAGGATAGTCCCCCGGGTGACCCCGAGAGTGGCTCTGGGGGCCAGGGTGGGGACCCCAGTGATGAGGACTGGCGCAACAAGAGAAAGCATGTGTTTGTGCTGAGCGAGGCAGGCAAGCCCATCTACTCCAGGTATGGTAGCGTGGAGGCACTGTCGACGACCATGGGTGTGATGACAGCCCTCGTGTCCTTCGTACAGAGTGCAGGGGATGCCATCCGCGCCATCTACGCTGGTGAGCAGAGGTGGGGGAGAGGGAGTGGGGGGAGCAGGGGATGGTGGACAGGAAAATGGCTGGCTGGGAGACTATCCACGCAGCCCTCTGTGTATATGGCTGGCTGGCTAGGCATCTCTCTCTTGTCCATCTGTTTGGCCTGCTGGGTTCTGAGTGATTAACTCACCTGGACCCGAGTCACTGGCTGGATACTTCTGTGACTTTGGGGGCTCTCTGGGTGTCTCTGGGTTTCCGTGTCAGTCCTTGCTCTGTCTTCCCCTGATCCATGCTGTGTGTCTAACCTGATTCCTTGACCATCCCATCATGTCTCTACGAATAACCCAAACTCCCCCCAGTTGTCCTTATCCTCGTGCAAGTGTGCCACAGAGTGACCATGTGAGCTCGGGCCGGGAGTGCGTGTGTTCAGGGACAGAGCAGAAGAGCCCCGCCTGAGCCCTCCAGTGGCAGCTGACCCATCTCTACCCCCTGCCTCCCCTTCCCTCCCCCAGAGGACCACAAGCTGGTGTTCCTACAGCAGGGCCCACTGCTGCTGGTGGCCGTGTCAAGGACTCCTCAGTCAGCAGCCCAGCTACGCGGGGAGCTGCTCGCCGTGCACGCACAGATCGTGAGCACGCTCACGCGTGCAAGTGTGGCCCGCATCTTCGCGCGCAAGCAGAACTACGACCTCCGCCGCCTGCTGGCCGGTTCGGAGCGCACCCTAGACCGGCTCCTGGACAGCGTGGAGCGGGACCCCGGGGCCCTGCTGCTGGGCGCCGTGCGCTGCGTGCCTCTGGCTCGCCCGCTGCGGGAAGCCCTGGGGGCGCTGCTACGGCGGTGCACGGCACCTGGCCTGGCCCTCTCGCTGCTGGCGATCGGAGGCCGGCTGGTGACGGCGGCCCAGGAGCGGACTGTGCTCGCCGAGTGCCGGCTGGACCCAGCCGACCTGCAGTTGCTGCTCGACTGGGTGGGGGCGCCGGCCTTCGCGGCGGGGGAGGCGTGGGCACCTGTGTGCCTGCCCCGCTTCAACCCCGACGGTTTCTTCTACGCGTACGTGGCGCGCCTGGACGCCATGCCGGTCTGCCTGCTGCTGCTTGGCACCGACCCCGAGGCCTTCCATGACATGGCCACGTGCAGGCGCCTGCTGGAGGAGGGCATGCACGGCCTTGGTGCCATGCGGGCCCTGGGGGAGGCTGCCAGCTTCTCGAGCGCCCCAGCAACCAGTGCTCCCGCCTACAGCGTGCAGGCTGTGGGGGCGCCCGGCCTCCGACACTTCCTCTATAAGCCGCTCGATATCCCCGACCATCACCGCCAGCTGCCTCAGTTTACCAGGTAGGCCCGGACCCTGCGGGCAGTTGGCTGGGCAGGAAGCCTTATCCAACTAAAAGGTTCAGCGTCTCATAGCCATGAGGTGGGAGAGAGCCAGGCATTCTCTAGGAGGATGGAATCGAACGGAGTCTGTCCACTGAGGGAGGCTCAACCAGCAGCCTCAAGGAGTCCCTCATTCTGATGAAGAAGAGGGCCCCAGTACTCATGGAACCCCCCGGTTGCTGGGCCAGCTGGGCCTCCAACCACTGAGAAACCTCAAGTCTAATGGGGGCGGCTGGGCTCCCTCACTTAATCGAACTCCCTAGGCTGAGGGGAGACAGGCGAGCCAAGCAAGCCTCTGATTGACCTTGGCCTCTCCTCCCTCCATCCCGGCAGCCCTGAGCTGGAGGCCCCGTACAGCAGAGAGCAGGAGCGGCAGCGCCTGTCCGACCTGTACCACCGTCTGCACGCGCGCCTCCACAGCCCCTCCAGGCCCCTGCGCCTCATTTACCACGTGGCTGAGCGGGAGACGCTGCTGGCCTGGGTGAGTCGGCGAGGGGTCTGGAAGAATTCATTCCTGACTTGAAGCCTCCTTTTCCTCCACTCCGTCCACTCTGACCATGCCTTTGCCTGCATCCCTGTTCCTACCATTACACAGGTGTCTTTGAAACTCATAAGGATTGCACGGTCTACAACCCTCCCGTACCACTGTTCTTTTCCTTGTTTCCCCATTAGCTACCAGTACAGAGTCTCTGACTTGGAAGAGGTCCCATTAACAACCATCAGCATGCCTCTTGTTTTCCCAGTAGCCCTGCCCGTGTGTCTACCAGTTCAATTTTCGCTCTGGGAGTCCCCAGTACTCTTGAACACTACAGGCTTGGTCCCACACTGTGCCTTCTACCTGGGGTGTCCTTCCCTGGGGTCTTCAGGGCTCCTCTCCTCATTCCCATGGGTCGATTAAGGGTCAGCCATTCAGGGACTTTGACCAAGGTGACCCCACTGGAAATGGCACCTTCCCTCAGGCTCTGCCATTTGGCAGACATGTATTAAATCATTTATTGTATGCTTATTGGGTGTGAGGCATTGTTCTCACCCAAGGATTATATTATTTTTAAATTTTTTTAACTTCCATTTCCAAGCAATTTTAGACTTACAAAGAAGCTGCAAAATAGTACAAATAATTACTACAAATAGGTTCTTCCCCTAGTTTCTCCAGATGTTAACCACAGGAGCTTATTAAAATCAGGAAATTAACATCAATACAACAACATCTAATCCACAGATTTCATTCAGATCTCACCAGTTGGCCCACTAATGTCCTTCTACTGGTCCAGAATCCAGTCCAGGATCTTATGTTGGTTTATTTATTATTATCTTCTTAGTCTCATTGATTCTAGAATCCTTAGTTTTTTTTGCATGTCCTTGACACTTTTTAAAGAGTACCAGCTAGTTTGTAGGATGTCCCTCAACTTGGGGTTTTCTAATATTTTATCATGACTGAATTAAGGTCATGCATTTTGGGCAAGAATATCCCAAGAGTGAGTGATATGCCCTTCTCTGCACCTGATCAGGAGATCCACAGTGTCATTTGTCCCACTGTTGATTTAAGTTAGATCACTTGGTTAAGGTGCTGTCTCCCAGATTTCTCCACTACAAAGTTAGTGTTTTCCCCCTTTATAATTAGTAAATATCTTGTGGGGATTATGTCAGGTTTCTGTTTTCCATCACACTTTCATCCCCTGACTTTAATAGCCATTAATGATTCTTGTCTGCAACAGTTACTGCTCTGGTGTTTGCCACGTGGTGATTTTTGAACTCTGTCATCCCTTCTACATTTATTCTTTGGGATTCTATTACTATATGGAAGAACTTTTCCTCCTCCTGTTTATTTGTTGAATTTTTAATTTTATAGCAATATGGTCTCATGGATTTTTCTTTAAGTCAGTGGGCTACAATACAAGCCTTTTCTGTAATTCATTTTGGTGCTCAAACTATCTCGATTTAGTCGGGCTGGGCCCTGTGTCTTTTTTTATACGTCTCCATCGCTGTCTGAGCATTCCTGTTTTCTGGCACACGACGTTCCAGGCTCGTCATGTACTTTCTCTGTGCCAGTCCTGGAATCAGCCATTTGTCCAAGGAGTCCTTGTTCCTTTTGGTGGAGAATGGCATTTCAAAACCAAGATATGGTAGGCTCAGGATTTTAAATTGGGTTGTCAGGGGATGACTCACTGAAGAGATGGCATCTAAGGGGGAGGTAGTGGGCTATGTGGGTATCTGGAGGGAGAGGGAAAGGACCGTGCAAATGCTGTGAGGTGAGACAGAACCTGTATGTTTGAGGAATAGCAGGGAGAGGTTAGAGTGGCCCGGAACAGAGTGAGTGAGGGGGAGAGCAATGAGAGAGGTGATACAGAAAGGTATAGTGACCTGGTCAGGTTAGGTCTCTGGTTGGTATAAGGATTAAATTGAATTAATCCTCCTATCATGCCCAGGCTGCAAATGATGAAAACAAGTATGTGGAGCTGAGAACAGAACCTTGTATACGACAACTGCTCAGTAAATGTTAAGCATTGTTGTTTTCCCTGGTCCACAGATGAGCAAACTGACATCTAGGGAGTACGCACATACACACACACACACACACACAGCCAGCGGCCACTAGATTAGCTGATTCCTTGGCCCTACTGAAAACCCCTGGCCCACCATGACACAATATTAGTTTACCAATTTTAGCCCAGTGACCAGGTAGCACCTGGTGGGAACCCTTGCCAGATGGGTTTTCCAAACAAGAGACGGGCATGGGGCTCGGGTGGGGTGGACAGGACTGGGCATGGTCAGCTCTGGCCTAACTGACTGTGTCTCCTCTCAAACCTGCAGGTGACTTCCAAATTTGAACTCTATACCTGCTTGAGCCCCCTGGTGACAAAGGCAGGTGCCATCTTGGTAGTGACTAAACTCCTGCGCTGGGTGAAGAAAGAGGAGGATCGACTCTTCATTCGTTACCCACCCAAGTACTCCACACCCCCAGCAGCCCCAGCTGCCTCTACAGACCAACCTTCCCATAACGGCTTGTTCCCTGGACCTTGAGAGGTGGAGTTCTCAGATTGGGCAGTGCTGAGAACCACCACCTTTGGTTTTTACCTTCTGTCTCCACCCTGGGAAAGGGGCAGGAGGGACAGAGGAAAGGCTGCTTCCCCAGCCCCGTCATGCTCCTCCATCTCTGGGAAAATCCTTCGGCCCCTCTGCCTCACCTCTATCACTTGGATGATATTCCTCTGTCAGGGGCTGTCTCCTCCAGTCCTGGGCAGCACACCCTCTGTCCTGCATCAGGAGTCTGCCTCCTTGATGGGCTCTCAGCCCTAAGTGTCTAGGGTTGGCCAAGGTCCCTTTGGGTGGTCCACAGGGGCTCTGGAATTGGGAATGCATGGCCAGCCTTCATGAAAGGCTTAAAGAAAGAAACAGTACATAAAAGACCTAAAACCAATTCCCGCAAGGACAGTCCTTTGCCCTTCATGTACTTCATCTTTACCTGGTCAAAAGTGGCCCCCATCAACGTTGGCTGCTGCTGATATCGGTGAGAAGGTGGCCTCCAGGGCAGAACACCTGACTTCACAGGTGGCTGAGATCCAGACATCCTGCATGGGAGGTACACTCGGCTTCTAAGGCTCATTGAACTCCTTCGTCAAGTGCAGAAAACCTCGCATAGGCTATTACGTGAGGATTTGTGAACGAAGGGGGACTCGAACTCCTGGGTACCACCGCACAGCTCATGTATATTTGTCTCGGACTTCCACAACCTGCACCACACGGCAACCCAGAGAGGGCAAGGCTTCCCTAGAGTCCGTACGTGTGTGCACAGCACTCCCTCCTCAACCGACCGAGACCCAGTTGTGCCCGTTCCCCTACACTGGAGCTGGTGGACGCGAGGTTACGCATGCGCGCTAACTGTCGTTCAGGGGCCCGCGTCCGCGCTTGGCGGGAGCTGAACCCTCACTGCTCCTCCAGCCTGGTCGACTGACGAGCAGACGCGCAGTGCACGCATGCGCGCTGCAGAGCCTGTGTCCCTCGTGTTGTTTTTTTGGTTTTTTTGACCAGTCGTCATCCAAGGTGCACGCAAGCGCAAACCCCGCACTGGAAAACGGCGGGCAAGTTGGAGCCTTTGAAAATGGAGGCCCCCGAAGTCGTAGAGAAGGCTGAGGAGGCTGAAGGTAGGGAGGGCGAGCCAGCCTCTCCCTGGCCAGGGCAGACGGGAGGGAGCCTTGTCGTGTTACAGTAATGAAATATTAATAGTGTACTAAAAAAATTAATTTAAGCTTTTTACGAAAACAAAAACTTCACCAAAGGGGAGAAAAATAACGTGCATATTCCTATCGTCTAGATTAACCCAGCTTTATCGGGTATATTGGTTTAAGTGTTTCGAAGAAACAATAGACTATTTCAATATGCATCTCTTCAGACAAAAAATGGGGATGGATGTCGTCACAAAAACCACTCTGCTCCTGCCACACCGAGGAAAAGCAACAGTAATGCCCCGGTATCATTTCACACCCAGCCCATATCGCATTTCACATGGACTCTTAAGTCTGAATGAGAGTGGCCTCTCCCATGGATGGCTCCTTTCCTTGGCACACTTTGTGGATAATGACACCCCCACCCTAGTGAGGGGAAGGGGATTGCTCTAAGGATAATTAGAAATTACCGCGAAGCCAGAAGAAGAAACCCTCCCAATTCAGTGATCCACTGCTATGCCACTAACTTTTTTTTTTTTTTAATTGTAGACATTTTTGGAAATGTCCCAAAGTACAGCAAATAATATGGTGAAGGCCCATGTACCCACCACTCTTGTTTCAACAGCTCTGGACTTTCTGCCCTCCTTTGATCTATCTTTGTCCCCCTTCCTGCACACTCTTTAAACCACTGTATTAATAATAACATTTGGACTGCATCTTTCCAGATCTATCTATGCAGACACCAACAATAATTATGATTGTTCACTGGTTTATTGTTATTTCTCCAGCACCTAAAACAATGCTGCTTGGCATATAGTAGGTGTTCAGTAATTTTTTTTTTTTTTTTTTATTGTATGAATAGTAACTTTAACTGGAAGAGCTCTCTTAGGTTAGGGCTATACATCAAGGGCCTTCAACAAAGGACATTCAGAAGGAAGACAGATGCAAATAGATCTCATTTATTAAGCACTTACTATAGCACTTAAAATAGTAGCAGCTGTGCTAAAAACTATTTTCGTATCAAGCTTTCAAATGAGTCAAAATTGAAGTTCTGATTAACTTCACCAGCAAAGGGGAAAATTGAACATGTTAAGTATCATTTCTAGCCCATTGAAAATGGCTTTAAAAAGAGAGGGATAAATCTAGTTCTGATTACTCTGTAGGGAAACAGGCTCTCTTTTGCCTCACTCAGAACTGACCAGTAAAAGCTTTGCTAGAAGCAGTTTGGCAGAATTTTTAGCATCTAAAATGCTATTCCATATCTGTAGTCACCGTGCTTGATAATCATAAAATGTGCAGATGTGTGGACCATGAAGGATCATTGGAGTGTTGTTGATGGAAGCAAAACGCAAGGAGCAATCAGGGAAATGTCTAGATTTAGATATGTCCATGCCTATTGTGGAATGCCTGTGTGGTGGACATTTTTTTAAGCAGTAAGAAAACAATAAGATAATTAAAAATTAATTTTTAAAAGAGTAAGATCATGGTTTATTGACACAATGAGCTTCAAAGGTGATCATACTTTTATGAGAGAAAAGCAAGTTGGGATTTAAAAAAAAAATTAAAAAGACGGGTAATGTCAACTAGAGCCCTAGGTATATTGCACAGTGTCTGAAGGCTAAAGGCCTAACTAATGACTCTCAACAAGGGACTTAGGTTTTTAGGAGTGTGCAAAGGTGGAGGCATTTTTGTGATTTTTTTTGTTTTATTTTTCTTTCAGGAAAATGTAGTGCTGTATGATTTTAAAATAGAGAAAGGAGGAAATTTTGAATGGCATCCAAGGATCATATATTAATACTGATCAATATTACCATCCCAGTTTTGATGGTTATACTGTGGTTACCTGGCAGAGTCCTCTTTTATTTAAGAAATATACACTGGAATATTAAGGAAAAATGGGCCATGATGCCTGCAGTATATGGTACAGAAATGCTCACAAATGAGAAATCTAATACAAAGGCAAATAGGAGCACTGTGGCCTTTTTCTACCACTTTTATGTACATCTGAAATTATTTCAAAATAAAATGTTAAAAGGGACTCATGCTGTACAGACTGTTTTGTAATATGGATTTCTCAGGAATTTTTATCAAGATGTTAGTCGGGTTATTTAAGAGATTTACTGATCACTCATGATGATTCAGACTAGAAATGAAGTAGAGGGGGAAAATACAGATGGAGCTTTCGCAGAAATGGTTACAAAAATCAGCTGTAAAAGACATGGGGACAATCGAGAAATCACATTTGTCTGGGCACTGGATGATACTACATGATGATTGTTAATCTTAGTGTAATGACAGGATTGGAGTTATCTAAGAAAATGGCCTCAAGTAGTTGAGACTCTTAATGAAATACCTGGGGATGAAATATCATAAAAGCATAGGGCTTGCTTGAAAATACCTCAGCACAGGAAAAACAGCTGAAGCAAATATGGATGAATATTAATGGCTGTCAGATCTTAACGATATGCATAATCAAGAGCTCATCAGGTGTCCTCTCTATTTTCATGTGTGTTTGAAAATTTTCATATGCAATACTACAAAGAAAATAATTAAATATTTCCCCTTATTAATAAAGTAGCTTTAATTTTTTTTGTTTCATTTCCAAATATTAAAAGAGTATTGTAGAAATTAAAGTCTCAAGAGGAGACATATCCGTTATTATGGATTATATTGGAGAAAGGCAGGAAGATTTAGGGCCAACCAGAGGGAGGTTTCATTTTTAACTTCACATATTTGGTAGTGTTTGAATGTTTTGGGGGGTAAGAAAGTAAAAAAGCAATGCATGAAATACATTTTACTAAAAGATCTGAGTGTGTTCACCGAACTGTTGGCAGTAGTTACCTCTAGGAAGGGAAGTGACTCACTGAAGAAGGGCTTGTTCCTGAGAGGAAGCTGTTACTTTTTCATCCATGGTTTTCTACATTTGTCTATTAAATAGTTAAAAATTCAAATGCAAAATTAACTTAATGCATACTAACTTGTAAATGATTTGAGACCAGACATGTAAAGAAAGTGAACATACCACCAAAACACCATACCACCAAACATTTTACCAAAACTTAAATTTACAACATGATTTTTTTTTAAAAGACTTATTTATTTATTTGAGAGAGCAGGTAGGGGCGGGGTGGGGGTGGGAAGGAAGAAGGAGAGAAAGTCTCAAGCAGGCTCTGCATTAAGTGTGGAACTCAACATGGAGCTTGATTTCATGACCCTGAGATCAAGACCCGAGCCGAAACCAAGAATTGGAAGCTTAACAGACTGCACCACCCAGGCATCCCTACAACATGATTTTTAATGGCTACAAAAGATTTCATCCTATGAATGTGCTATAATTAACTAAAATATCTTTAGGTTGCTTCAGTTTTTTAAGATTAGAAATAATGAGCAACTTGCCCACCATTTATTTCCTTGAGGTAGATTCCTAGATATGGAATTTCTGATCTAGAGGATTTGAGTAATTTTTTTGGTATTTACTACCAAAAAGGTTGAAATGTAATACTGGTTTTGCCTATCAGATTGGCACAAATGAAGAAGTTGGAAAACATCGTTGCCTGCTAAGAATATGGGGAAGGAATCTTTTATGGGCCTGCTTGAAACAAGTGGAGAGCAATTTCATAAACCCAGTCAAATTTAGTAATACACATGCTCTTTGATCCAGCAGATGGCCTAGTAGGAATTTATCCAGTAAATATACTCCCATGCATGCACAAAAAGAATGTATAGGGATGGTTTTCTTGTTGAATTGTGTCCCTCCCCAAAATTTATGTCTATCAGAACCTAAAAATGTGGTCTTATTTGGAAATAGGGTCTTTGTACGTAAAACTAGTTAAGATGAAGTCATCCTGGATTAGGATGGGCCCTAATCCAATGACTGGTATCCCTATAAGGAGAGGGAAACCTGCGCATAGAGAAATACACAGAATGCCAGGTGAAGAGCCAGCCTACATCAGGGCTGGGGCAGAGAGCTGGCCGGGTTTGAGGTTCAACCCCCAGCCCAGGCC